GCTCCGCGGGAGGCCGTGGGGCAGTGGGCCCCGCAGGAGCCGCCGCGACCTGCGCTGGGTCGCGCCCCCGCCGTGGTTCCGACCCGCACCGGAGACCTAAGCTCCGCGGGCCTCTCAGCAGCCCACGGCGCCGACTGGGGTCCCGGGTGCCGTGCGCAGGGTCTTACCTCGGGGCGGCTCCCGGAGCTTCGCGATCTTTTTGGATGAAAAAGAGCCCTCTGAGTCCCAGATTTCCGAGTCCGACCAAGAGTTTGTATTTACTCCCCCAGGTGCGCGCGCCAGAGAAGCCTTCGGATTCTTTCCGAAACGGACCTCTCGCCTTTAAAGCCTTGGAATCCGGCGCTTCCCGGTGATCCTGGGGGCGGGGCTGCACCCGCGGGCCCCGCCCCCTGCGCCTGGATCGGAGCGCGAGTTCCCGCCGCGTCCGGCCCCCGCGGCGCTGGGCGCGCCTTCCAACGGTGGCAGCGGAAACCTCGGGGCCCAATGTCCGCCGGAAAGCAGGATTCGTGGCAACTCTGTTTCCCTGGGGTCACGGTCGCATGGCTCGGGCTCCGGTCCTGATGTGGCGAGCCCCGGGAGCCGCGGGCCGAGCGAGCTGCGTGCGCGCCCTCCTGCGCCCTGGGCCCACACCCGGAGGCGCAGTGTGAGAAGGCCAAACTCCTCGGACGAAGACGCGCCGCGCCCCACAAAGCCACCCACAGGGGCGAAGAGGCTTCATCGGTGCAGATTCTCCGCTCGCCCGCAGGAAGGCGTTCCCTGCGGATGACGGATGAGGGACACATCTATCTTACCTGGAAGATGAAGGGGACCCTGGAGGCCGGGCAGAGGGAGGCCGGCTCCCCATTATTCTCCAAGGCCCGGCTTTTGCTCTTACCCCCTCTATCATCAATGATCTGTCCCTTTCGCAGATGACTGCAAGGGACGTTATAGTCCCAGCAAAAAGGGAGAAAACTCCCACGAACAGAGAGGAGACAGATGGAAAAGGGAGACTGGCAGTGCACATGGAGATTTAAAAATGCGTTTCTCCAGCGTGCTCCCCCAACATGTGACGAAAAGCTGGCGGGTTGCTGAAGCGAATCAAACACTTGTGCGCAAGGGTGTTTCTCTGCTTCTAGGGGCCGCATACCAGCTCACACACTTCCTTGGATTCTGGGGACCCGTGGAGAAGGTCAAATGCCCGATCCAGACCTCCTCGCGTGCTTAACCTTCCATCCGGCGTTCAGAATGCTGAAGGCGCTGGAGGCGGCCGCACAGTTTTGGGGAAAGCGCCCATGCTGGAGCCTCTAGCGACACAGGCCATCGAAGGCACTTGGTAATGAGATGTTTTCCTCTCTGGTGGTCACTAAGAAGCTTATAAGGCCTGTTGTTAGTCTCAGACCTGGACAATTTGCAGGAAACAAAAGCATGAGAATTGCCGGGACGCTTCCTAAAGAATTTTGGAGCAAAATATAATTAAAGGAGTCTGCACTCAATAGCCCTCACCCGAGTGGTATTTTGGAGGCTGTGTCCTGCTGATTTGCATTCCTCGCCCACTCTCGGTAGGGTCGAGCCTCTTTAAAAAGGAGGTGAGAGCTACAGGAGGCGTGAACTGGTGGGCTGCATTCCAGATTGTGGGTACTCTGCTGCCTTGGAGATGAATGGGGGTGGGGAGTGGGTGTTACTTCTTGAAGATTATTTTTGCCTCCGTTGTATCCCGAGCTTTAAGCCAAAACATTTTGCCGTTAAATAACTTTATTTTTCTCAGAGGAACTGCCTGCAAGCAGTTCTTTCCCCCTGCTGGCCCGTGCGGAATTTGGCCTGGGAGCACCCTAGGCTTGCAGTGAGAAGTCTTCATGTGCCTGTTTCTGCAGGATCTCATGCCTGGAGTTGGGGTTATGCCTGCTTTTCCACTGAAAAAACTGTACCAACCAATGAGTTTTTGTTATGGAGACTGCTGGCCTTCTCCTCCCCTTCCGGTCAATCCCCCTGCTAACCTTACCCTGCAGAAATCTGGGTCTTCTCGATGTTTTCTCAATGCTGCATTTATTTATTTATTTATTTATTTTTATTTTGGTTTTTCTCCGGTACCGGGAACCGAACTCACGACCTTGCGCTTGCCAGGCAGGCGCTTTGCCGCTGAGCTAAATCCCCAGCCCCTCAATGCTGCATTTATTTCTGTGGCTGAGTGGTCTGTTTTTGACAGCTCTCTAGAGGCTGGCTTCCTAAAAGTACTGTACTAACAGGTTCACATTGGCACTAACACTTCCCCAGTGCACCAGTTTATCTTATATGATAATGTGTGATGTCCAAAGCCCCTAAATGCATGCAAGTGGGTGGCCACGTCTCGCATGTTGACTTAGAAAAGGCCTGGACTTTCCTGCGCAATGTGTAGCCTGCTCTGAGTACTCAGACCTCACCTTGGCCTCCAACCTCCACTTCCCCTCCCACCAGCAGGAGCCATGGCTACAGTGTGGCTGCCTGTGGTGATGTCCCAGGCCCCGTATGTTTCTAGGTGTAGGGCTCAGCTCTTGCTTGGCTTCTTTCTGCTGCCCAGGCCAGAGGTGTTTGCGTCTCAGTGCAAAGGAGTCTGAAATTGGGGCCCTCAGAGCCTCTGTTACTTTCCAGGAGAAAGATTCTCCTGTCAGGAACCAGGATAGGGAGGAGATGGAGAGGCCAGCAGAAGCCTTTAGGAGGCTAACAGATTTTCCACCTGCAGACTTCTTGCTTCCCTGGAGGCCCTGGTGCATAAGAGAAGTCTGTGGAGTAGAGGATGTGGTCACAATAGCAACACTAGTATTAAGTGCTGCTTATTATGTGCTGCTTATGCGGAAGGCACTGGACCAAGCATTTTCTCATGTAGTCCTCAGAACAACCATGAGAAGCAGCATCTCTGTTTTACATAGGCAGAAACTGAAGCTTGCAACACCGCTAGGTCACAGTGCTAATGTGCGGACCAGGACTCGGCCTCAAGTCTCATTCGCTCCCAAGTCTTTCACTACTCCCAGGGAAGGCCTGCCCTTGCATCAGCCCATCCACCAACTGCCGAGTGCTTGCTGTGTGCCGGTTTCCAGCCTCCCCAGTTCTGAGGGTTTCAGAAAATAACCCTAAGTTTAAATCTCATATCTTCTGTTTGTTATTTGGACTTCATCTTTCTAGTGCCATGGGGTCCAGGTTTTGGCATCAGTTGTTTCACTGGGATATGACAAAGGGCTGCTGAGCTTCCGGTTAACAGAGTGCCTGAGAGGAAGCCCCTGCACTGGAATGGCACTGCTCTTACATCTCCTCAGCACACGAATCTGGGTGGTAGGAAGTTCAGTGTCTCAGCTAAGGCAGGGCCAAAAGCAGAGCCCAGTCCCTGTGTCCCAGAGTTCTTTTGTGTTAGACTTTGTCTTCCCTGGGCCAGAAGCCAGATGAAGTAATTTGTTTTCCTAAACTGCATGGCTTTACATTCATGTTTCCTTTAAGTATTATCATTATTACATTGATTTAGGTTACTAAATCATTGGGCTCATCAATAATGATAATCTTATTTGCTTTCCTTCTGGGCTAGCTATCTACAATCAGTTCATTTACACATGTTCAGATCTGGCCCCCAGATGGAAAGCATAGGTCCTAAGTAGCTAACCTAAGGGGTGGAGAAAATAAAAGCTTTTGTGAAATTCCTTCTGGAAGCAGAAGAAAAAGACCAGGCACCCTTTCATGGAGCCTCCTAACTGCAGTAGTGCTACAGGGAGTGTTAGGCCAAAAGGAATCAATTACAATAGGAATTAATTTGGAGAAAAGTTTCTCTAGATTCCTCCCTGGTATGAGCACCTTATTTAACAGGGCTTCCCTTGTATGCATTGTCTAGAAAGATAGAGGCTGCAGCTTCAGCTGGTAGTTTGTTCTCACTTGCCAGCCACAAATTAGAACACCGAGAAAAACAATTTGTACTTAGCATTATGAAGAACCATCACCCAAGTGAATGCAGCACAGCAAATGAACAAAGGCTGAAACAGCTTAGGTGTAAAGGAAGGAAGTGAAACCTGACTGTAAGAGCTGCCAGTGCAGCTGAATAGATTAGAAGCTGCTAGCCACCTCTAAGCCTCACTTTTGTCTTTTGAAAATGGGAATAATATTTCAGAGGGCTGTTTTGAGGATTACATTACTCCACGTCTCGCAACCTTGTAAGAATCCATCATTCTGTGCCAGGTGTGGTGGCGCATGCCTGTAATCCCAGCACTTGGGAGGCTGAGGCAGAAGGATCATTGTGAGTTCAAGGACAGCCTGGGCTGCAAAAGTAAGCTCAAGGCCAGCCTGAACTGTATAGTGAGACCCTGTCTCAAAAAGACAAAAAAAAAAAATCCATCATTCCATGCACCTGCTACAATATCACGTTGTTATTCTTCAGAAACACGAAGTTGAACGGGCTTCCCAGTCTCTGCTTTGACGCAGCTCTCCAAGCTGCAAGGTGGACAAAATGCAAGCTTTTACTCACAGCTCCCTTCTGCTGGCACAGAGCAAGCCAGAAGGAAAGGAGGCCCCTGTATGTTTTGGAGTTGAAAGCTGCCGCAGAGTCTGAGGACAGCCACAGACAGGACCGTCAGCAGCAGCACCATCAGCAGGCAGCTTGTGAAAGAGAATCAGTCTTTGGGAGATGTGGGAGCTTTGGTGGAGCTCTGCTCCCTGCTACTAAAGTCATTTACAGTGGGGGATATAGCTCAGTGGCATAAGTGCTTGCCTGGCAAGCCTGAGGTCATGAGTTCGATTCCCGGTACCAAAAACAAAACAAAACAAAAAAAAAAACAAAAAGAAAAGTCATTTATAATTCATGAAAAAAGATAACCTGTCAGTTGTTCACAGATGACTCTCACAAGGTATATGAATCCCCTACATGTCCATTTTAGAAGTTGTACGGTAAGAACCAAACAAGTAACTTACAAGTTCGAGATGCCCACAAAACATGAAGCACATTTCACTTTATAGACAATAAATGGCAAGGCAGGTTTCTTCTGAATAATTTTGAACAAATTGAGCAACTATTTTGTAAATTAATCTTGTTTCTCTTTTATTCTAATTTGACATTTTAGCTGGGCATGGTTGTGCATGCCAGTAATCCCAGCATTTAGTAGGCCGAGGCAGGAGGATCTCCTGTGAGTTCAAGGCCAGCCTGGGATACATAGTGAGTTCAAGGCCAGCCTGAACTTCATAGTGAGACTCTGTCTCAAAAAACAAACAAACAAACAAAAAAAAACTAGTTTGACATTTTGAGACCATATAATAAATATGGATATTGGGTTGCCTAGGGTTGTTCACAGAAACAAACATGGCAGCAGCCTTTGGCTACACAATCAAAAGACAATTCTATCACCACTGCGTTCATATAGAAGACAGAGAAACTGAGTAGCGCCGTCCCCACACAGAAGCACATTGGCAAACACCATAGTACCAAGCACCAAGAAGCGTGACAAATGCTGTGTAATTGACAGGTATTTCAAAAGCCCTTTCTAAGCATGCAAATACCCTAAGAATATAACAATAAGTAACTGAATGCAGTGCTTTCTTAATAGCAGGCTTCATGATAGATACTCAGATCTACTGGTGTGTGAGGCCACTGACACTTGAAGTCACATCCTCATCTAAAAAGAATCCTGAGCAGGATCAAGACGAGATGCTCTCTCTAAGCCTCTTCCACATGCAGTGCTGCCGGGGCCTGTGAAAATCAGATTATTCAGATGCTTCCAGAGCCATCATGGTGAATTTTCTCTGGGAGTTATTCAGAGAAAAGGAAGATAAGTCCTGCCTAGTACTGAGAACATGTAAATATGGCTCATGATAAGCGGTTTAAATGGAAGACAGCCGTGAAGTAAGTGCTGCAGTGAAGCAATAGTTACCTAAGGAGAGAAGGTGCGGAGTGGGAGCTTGCCAGCAGCCGGTGCTGAAAATCAATGAGAACATATCATCAAGTGCATGGAAATGTTAAATGTTGGGCTGGGGATTTAGCTCAGCGGCAAAAGCGCCTGCCTGGCAAGCGCAAGGTCGTGAGTTCGGTTCCCGATACCGGAGAAAAACCAAAAAATAAAATAAAATAAAAAAAAAAAAATGCGAGGATTACTGGCATGTGCCACCTTGCCTGGCTCAATGTAATGTTTTTGTTTGAGCTATATCCCCAGCCTCTCAGAATCAATTTATTTTACTTTTCAAAAAGGGTAAAGCCAGGTATCTATCTGTTGTTCATTACTACTTCATATTGAAACACTAATATATTATTCCACTTTCTCCACCTGTAATTCTTTTATTTCTCTTTAGTTCTAGAGGTTCGAGGTGTGGAAGGGAGGACGTGTGTGTGCGTGAGTGCGTATGAGTGCGTGCGCACACACACACACACACACACACACACACACGTGTTCTGGGGGTTGCATTCCCACTGGCTCTAATCCTTGATGGCTAGATGGCAGCCAGAAATCCAACCCAGGTGGATTCTGGAACTTGAGAACTCAGGCTCACAGTTGGCATGAAAGTGCCTCGGGGTCTCTCAGATCATGAGTATCACTCTGTAATACCCTCTGTCTCCCAGAAGAGAAAGTAACCAAACTGACCACGCTGGGCATTGCAGGCTGCCAGGGCAGACTCAGCGGGCCTCATTTACTAATAGCATCCCTGAGGTCTAGGGCAAACTAGGCACCAAGGGTTAGCTCCACTTAGGCACCCCAAGCATTGTTCTTAGATCTGCTTTCAGTTCTCTGTCACCCAGAATGTTGTCACAGCCTTCTTTGAGATTCTAAGTCAGTTGGTTACACTCTTCCTGTCCTGACCCTGTCAGTGTGCAGGAGTGAGGCTATCCATTACCCCTCACCCCTGCTCTTGATTCTCACCATCTTAGCTACTGAACTTTCTAGAACTCAGTCTAGCAGTAGGTGGATGGTTCATCCTACACATCTCACAGCCAAGTCAAATATCAGATTGTAAGAAATAAAAGAAGAGAGAAAGAAAAACTTGCAGCAAGGACAAGCCTT